GGGGGGGGGGAGAGGTGGTTGTTCCACAAGATTCATTCTATCCTTGTTGTTGATTCTTGCTGAGGAAAAATCGGAGAACGGAATTAAATCTCAGGTCACAGTCATTCCATCATATAATCATTGTCTAATAACTCACCAGATTGTTTTCTACGATGTATATCACGTGACTGTCCTTTTTCATTGGATTCTAATTGGGATACCTTTGTCAAGAGCTCATCTAGTTCCCTTCTATAATAAAAACAAAGAGCAATTTGCACTCACAGAAACAGATGGCTAGCATAGGTAATGCAATGGTTTAAAAGATGTTGGAGGGGATAGTAGGGGGCTGACAGTCACAGAAACAGATGGCTAGCATAGGTGCTGCAGTGGTTTAAAAGATGTGGGAGGGGATAGTAGGGGCNTGACAGTCACAGAAACAGATGGCTAGCATAGGTAATGCAATGGTTTAAAAGATGTGGGAGGGGATAGTAGGGGGCTGACAGTCACAGAAACAGATGGCTGAAGAAGTAGAGTAGGTTGACATGTGAGTTTCAATGCACTTGATTTGTTACCTTATGCTTCCCATGTCTGAATTTCTTAGTTCTCTGTCATCTACTATACTTTCAATGCTGCGTGATTGAGATCTCTGATTTTCAGAAAGTAAGTTCACAGTCTGTGAAAACCAAGAATTAAAAAGGAATATCAGAAATATCAGATTGAGTAAAAATAAGTTGTAAGCTAAAGATGACACAGGGCTTATTTAGACAGCAATCATTAAAGTAAGGTTTTATGTAGTATCTTTTACAAAAGTGCTACTAAGCTTACATCTACAAGTAAGTCTATGACATTAGTACCTTTTTGAATTCATGTACATTATGATTAATACATACTCTATCAATGCGCTCAAGCCGTCTATTAGAATCTTTTGCATCTGCCATTGTAGTTTGGGTGTCTAACTCAATCTTACCTTTAAAAATTCAAATGAAATGATAATATTATTAGTTCTAATTAATTTCTATTATTATTATTATTATTAATTTTAAAATATTTGCCTGAACAGTAAAGCTAAATAGTAAATTATGAGACTATATGAGCTACATCTTAAACAAAAGACTAATATAATATGTACTGTACACATGATGGTCTCTTAAAACCGCCACCCGGTACAGTGGGTAAGAGCATCATTGGTCTGTTGTTCGGGAGGTTGTGGTTCAAGCCTCGGCCGGATCAACACCCAGGGTCTTAAAATAACTGAGGAGAAGGTGCTGCCTTTGTAATAATATCTGCAAATGGTTAGACCTTCAAGTCTTCTTGGACAAGGACTTTAAACCGTAGGCCCTGTCTCCTAACCCTTCCTAACCTACAGTAAAATGGGGGACATAAAAGAAACCCTGGCAGTGACCACCCTAAGTGCCTACACGTCATACTAACCATCTCTCATGCTTGTAAATTGCATAAAAAGCAATTTGTCATTCACAACTCCATGTAAAGCGCCTTTGATTATATCCACATATAAAAGGGCGCTATATAAATCATAATCTTTTTTTTTTCAAAAACAACAGTAATATTCTACCATTGTAGTCTTGAAACACAAGCAGTTGACAGCCCCAAATGACAGAAACATGTAAGAAGTCGAAAGAAGTCTATAAAATTGTTTACACCATGATAATATTATTAATATTAGTCTACTTGCAAACAAATGTCCTGGATCATTTAACTAAGTAATTTGAATTTTTGGAGAGACAAGGATATTAAGAGAACTAAAACTGATTTTGTAAAAATATTAAAAATAATAAATAGGATTTAGCAGTGGCATTTCGACAGAGTGGCTCTTCATCCACTGAATTCCAATATTGGAATTTAAAAGTTGATTTTTGAGGAGGGAGGAAAACCGGAGAACCCAGAAAACCCTCAGCACAGGAAAAAGCACAGGAAAGAACCAACAAACAACTCCACTCACATACAACACCGAGCACAGCGGATACTTACCAATTCTTGTCTTTAAGTGGTCGATTTCCCTCCTTAAAGAATTACAGTCATCCTGTAAAATCCTTTTACTGTTAAAGGAAATGAACTAGTAAGCGCTGACAGATATGCAACATATCCAACCCTGAGACCATTATACTAACATTAGTAGATAAAATGATTCAAATTGTAATGGTAAATAATTGGTATTAAGCTGTAAGTTTTAACTTACTTTTCATGTAGATCTCTGGCTAAGGTTGCATTACTTGGATCATCATAGGAGATGTCATCCCTGTTCTGTTTCAATTGGTTTTGACTTTGTATTCTTTCCAATTGGCTGTACATCTCTCTTTTAAACTGTCACACAAAAGATTTCAGCTGCATATTAATAATTGTATTTTTCCATTACCTCCATTTGCATTGCTACATGGCCACCCCAGACAAAAATCGCAACGTGCACTTTGCAATAGACTGCCGTCAATCAAACACATTGACGTCATTTACACACGTTTGGGTCGGCCTGGTGAGTGTGGCTCATAATACTTGTAAACAATCGACAAGTTTTGGCGCCTTCTGAATCACACACTCGTGTAAATGATGTCAACGTGTTTGATTGACGGCAGTCTATTGCAAAGTGCATGTCACGATTTTTGTCTGGGGTGGCCGCGTAGCAATGCAAATGGTGGTAAGCATTCAATAACATGATTTTGATTTACATTTTCATGTGATTCCAGAAGATATGGGTGGACGACTGTAATGGATGGATAGCTGCATGGATTGGATATATGATAGATATATGCATGGATTGGTGGGTTGGAGGATGGTTGGTTGGATGGCCTGCTCTCAGTCTGACCTCTAGCTCAGCTGGTAGAGCATCGGAAGTACGATTTCGAAGGTCGTGGGTTCAATTCCCAGTGAGGTCGGAAGTTAATTTTTCCGAATTTAATCCCAAGGGTTTTCGCCCGGAATAACCTCGTTCCCAAGCACTATAACTTATCTATATTTCTATATCTTCATGTATTTCATTAGTGCCATGCGGTCCACATATTCTCATCTTTGCATCATAATTACCGCTACCTAACATCTATTTCACCCCGGCCTGCTCTCAGTCTGACCTCTAGCTCAGCTGGTAGAGCATCGGTAGTACACTTCCGAAGGTCGTGGGTTCGATTCCCAGCAAGGTCGTAAATTAATATTTCCGAATTTCATTCCAAGGGCTTTCGCCCGGAATAACCTCGTTCCCAAGCACTATAACTTATCTATATTTCTATATCTTCATTATCAATAATGATTGTGTTGTAAATACCCCTTCAAGTTTTCTCTCAGTTTGAAGATCTACCCCATGTTCTCTCAGCCTTTCATTTAGTCTGGAAACCTGATCTAGAAACAAATAAACAAAAGCTTGAAATTAAAAATCATTAAATATTATAATTAAATTCTGAGGGCATCACACCCAAGACTATGGGTTAGGCTTCACTAATTTGCAACGTCCCCTGTGATTGGTTAGGTTTAGGGGCGGGGTTGGGGAAAGGTCATTGTTTTCTTTTGTTCTACACAGGTGTGCCCTCCAATAGGACCACATCTTGCAAATTTATGAAGGATGACCCAAGACTACCAATTACAGCAAAAGATATAACAGTTTTTAAGGGAAATATACTATTAGCTGTCTATCAAATAAATACAGTAGCTTAAAAATTAGAACTTTAAAAAGTTAGCCTCCATGACAAAATGTTACATTGGTGACTAATAAATAGTAGCTTCAAGTTAACAGTGAGTGTTTTTTAAACCAAGTTCATAATTTATCTTATAAATATCATATTGATTAACATATTGGTTAACAAATACCTTGTAAAGTTGAAATTGTTTCAGCCTGATGAGTTTTTGCTTTCTCCAGTCTCTTAACCGTATGGCTTAATGAGCTGAGGGTCTGTGAACAATAAGAAACATGGCAAAGCTATTATAATGAAAAATTAGCAAATTTACATCTATTCAGTTTTTTATGTGTCTGTCCTCTATTTAATAATTCAATAAGTACTGTAAATTCGTTTTTTACAATAACAAGAATTATAAAAACTTCTCATTTTTAGTGATCAAACGACCAAAAGTAAAGACCGTGTGCTTATTAATGTCAGCTTTATCTGTCTGTCCTCTTATTGATAATAAAAAAAGAACCAATCAACACACAAGAAATAATAAATTGTAAGTCGTTAAAAAATAGGTTTTTGAAACCATTTGTTCCAGGTTATGAATGCCTATTTAAATCTCTCAGGAAAAGTTTCTGGTAAACAAGTATGAAGACAGATGTAAGAGACCCCAAAGAAGGAGCAAGGGAATAGTTCCTAAAATTAATATAGATGCAATTTGTATTAGTAACTATATGGTAACTTATTACCTCAGCCTGTTGTTCTATCCTCTCAAACAGGACATTAAGAAGAGCAGGAGAACTACTGCCTTCATTTCGATTAGCATTTACGCCAGACATCCTCTGAGGACTTGTAGATTGAAATCCATTGGTACTGTAGCTAAGGAGAGGATTAGAGGATCTGAAACTAGAGTTCTCAAAAGAACTATTCCGCACGTCTGTAAAGGGAAGGAATAAAGTTTTTGCTTTGAGTTAACACTTTGATTCCAATTTTGTCGGTTATCTCCACTTCCAAACAAGTTAAGCTTTCTGAATAACAAGATTTTAGCCTTGTACAACAGCCTTTCTTCAAGAAAATAGTTTTTGGTGCTCACTGCTTGAATATGAAAAGAATTCTCTCTTATATTAATAAAAGTCACTGTTTTAAAAAAGAAATGCAGGTGCACCCATTTTAAATTCCTTAAATTTAAAATATACTTCCCAAATGACAATACATAGAAGTGGGTTTTCTTTCTGACAGGAAACAAAAAAAGAGCCAGGATTCAAATGTATACCTTAAGATAATATCAAAACAAAAATTAAAAAAACTTGGTCATTATAAATAAAATATTGGTTCATAAAGTAACATACCAAGATTAGGACTTGAGTAATACTTTGCTTGTGAAGAATGTCTTACTCTGGATGAACCAAGCTGATCCTATAATATGAAGATCATTGACAATTTACTGATCTTAAAATCAAAATCCTGGTTCCTGGATCAGTTGTCCAAGGTCATTGAGGTAATGCAGTTTGCTTACAAGATAAGCATTGTACATGTGTTCACATAAAATTTAATCTTAGAATAAATAAGTGGTAGGAATAATTTGAAAACAGCCCCCATCCCTGTAATATAGTGATTACTACAAGAGACCAAACCAAAAATGGACAATACTAACGCTCAATCATGAATCTATTGAAATACCAGAATCAAGCATCCTAGCTTATAACATCATCAGACCCTAGGACCTAGAAAGGGGAGGTTTGTTTTTACCAATCTTAGTTGTTGCAACTCGTTGTTGCAACTTCAAAGCAAACCTTCTGAGGTTGTGAACTTGAGGAAAAGGAGGAAGCTGATGATGTTTGGACTGTGATCAGTCCTTGTATTTTCCCTTAGTCTCTGTTTGCTGTAGTTTAATGTGAGGATATGTAGCTAGTCCCTGCTCTGCTCCCAAATGGACCACAACAACACCAAACAGTGTCCCAGGGAAAATGCAGGGAGTACTTGCAGGCTAGTGAAGGCATTAAAATAACCCAAGGTCAAACATATAATAATAATAATAATAATAATAACTTTATTAATGTCTCTATTTCTTCTAGCCGGGTACAAGTRCCCTACTATAATCGGGGAGACATTCAAAACATTCAAAACAAAGTTACAATATAACATAAGTATATGTACTGATTCCCTAAATAAGAAAAAAAGGTTTTATAGGTTTTCGCAAAGCAAAGAGGCCAAAAAAAAAAAAAAAAAATCATTTACGACTAATATAAGTTATAAATGTTTTGTTATGGGTAAATAAACTTATTTACAGGGGACTTGAAGCAGCAGGAAATGAACGCTCGTCTATTATAAACAAACCAAATGAGACATGCATTTCTTACGAAATAACTAACTAGCAAGTATTCTATCATGCCTGGTATTCTATTGAAGATTACAAAAACTCTTTCGTTCACTAACGTCCTGAAATAACTCAAACGACAAATTTTGGTTTGAGTTATTCGTTATTTTATCTGATCATGAAGGTCAGCTGAATAATCGTAGCTGTGTTTCTAAAGTCTTACTACTGTTTTGGATAAATTTTGCTGTAAACTTACCTTAACTCGAGCTAGGTTGGTCTCAGTTTCTTTTACGATAGAAGAGATCTTGTCCTCCCAATCCATATTATGTTCAGTTACGTTTTTCTAGTGCAATCATTAATTCAAAATGTTTTTATAATCCCTTTTTGTTTTGACAAAGCACCCAAGCGTCCTGAATTCGAATTTCGCTCACCTGCGCGTTGTGCCACTGAGCATCTACTTTGAGACAAACCGCTGATCTACGGAAAGTTCCGAATTCCGAGTCCGTAGTCCTGAATCCTGTGCAAAAAGTCATGTTTGTTCTGGTTAATTTGTCATATACTTATATACTACCACCCTTTCTCGAACCCGCACTCCCGGCCCCCATATATCCTGATTACATCCATGTTAGTCAGAGGACTGCAGTCATAGCTTAGGACAGCTAATCACAGCTAAGGACACCTAAGGACCGTTAATCTTGGTTAAGGACAGTTAATAATGGCTAAGGACAGCTAAGGACAGCTAATGCGGGGGG